GCTAAATTAATATTTAGTGAGTGATATGGATATATTTTTAACACAAAATTTGATCGCAAGCTGACATAGTGAAAATATATTATATGTATTAATCTAATCTAATAATTAAAATAGTATTCATTTAATAAAAATTTAGATAGTCTTATTAATTTTTAAATAATAAAATTAAATCTATATATTACTCAATAGAATTATAAAAGAAATTGTTCAGGGAGCAATTAAAAAAATTTATTTTTAATTCAAGGGGATATTAAGGAGTCATTAAAAATACTTTTTGCTTCAGGGGGCTATTTAAATTTTTCAGGGGGCTCGAGCCCCTGCGTTCCCCTAGCAACGCCACTGGGGGTGTTTAAGACAACAGAACTGTCCCAAGGTCTAGTAGCATCTACATGAGCGGGGGAGGGATGTAGGAACAGTTTGCATCCAATTTTTCATGAGGGGGTAGTAGGTAGGCTCATATAAGGGGGAGAGGTTAAATTTATTTGGGGGTTATCTATTAAATTTTAAATAAAATAGGACAAAATATATTGCTGTAAAAATTAATACTTTTTTTATAGGCCTACATTGATATTGCTGATCACCGACCAAATCTATAGCAAACAATCATAAACATTATTTTCCAAGTAAAACTTTCTACTATCCTTTTAAATGTAATTTAAAAGGCTTAGACATTCTCAGCAAACTCATATTCTTGACAATATGCGGTTTTTAATTTAATTCATGATTTAAAAAATATTTATTTTATATTCACAATATTTTGATAGTTGGTATAGTAGAGCTAAAATAATTTAAGTTATTCTTTTTAAATTTTATGAAGGGAGTACTATTATAATTAAAAAGGTCAATAATATTATAAAAATATCGGCATCAAAGGCAGCGGGAATTTTTTAGCATAGGTTTTTGAAAGGGGTCTGTATCCATTGAAAATCTTATCACGTAGATGCTGAGATCTAGGCTTCGTCAATTGGTCAGAAAAGAAGGAAAGCTGGTAAATAAATTGATTAGATGAGAGACGGAAGGCGATGAATCCACTAATGTAAAGGGTTAGTAGTGAATTTAAGTCGATATCCCCAAGCTTGCAGGGCAGTGACACTTGTAACTATAAATTGTGATTAAAGAATAAATCAAGAAATTTAAAAATTGAGGGGAATCGAAGAGCATTAAGAATTTTAGGAATCTAGTAAAATTTGAGAAGAAAAAAGGCCTGATGAAGAAGAAGATGCTTGGAGATTTTAAAAATGAAGTAACTCAGATGATGAGTTAGCGAAGTTGTAATTTATGGATTTCAAACAACCAACTGGGTAGCCGAGATAAGTGAGGGGGGGGGGGAGAATAATCATCTGTCGTCAATCTATCAAATATGCAATTAAAGATTACAATCGGGTGAAATATTTTTGACCATTCATTAATATCTATGGAGAAGAGTAGCCAGCTTAGAGGATCGTCTTGTTGGATCCATTTTGTGAAAGTACATAATTGTTGATTTGGAGATGAAATGGTAAAGAGAAGTGTAAAAATAGAGAAAAGGTTGGAAATGAGGGGTATATTTGAGAGAAAGTGGGAGTGGGGAATAGAATTAAATGCATTAGAAAGTCAATTTTAACAAGGATTTTGTCACATTGATTGGTATAGATGATGATCTGAACCATATATTTTCTAAATACGAGTAGCGTGTGATTTAGCAAGTTGGTAGAGTGCTAAAATTAAGGCTTTAATTTTAGAAGATATAAGTTTCGCAACAATACGGCGGAATACGGTCCCGCTATTGGTCGAATACCTTTATTGGGCTTTCGGGTATGATTAATTTGGCGTAGAATAGGAGTGGTCTGATAGATTAGGGAAAGAGTCCATGTGATATTTTATTATAGAATTTTGTCAAATTTTGTAGGATTGAGACCCAGTTGATTATGAGGGATATGTAAGATCCCGAGGAAGATAGGATGAAGCCCATCGTAGCCTGGTGAGAGTCATGGTGAAAGGACAAAATGCAATTGTATACCTAGTCTGGGGTGAAATCATTTGGGAATGGGTTGGATGGAGGAAGCGATATGAAGTCACCTCGGTGCAAGTAAGCAGAGGGTGGATTTGATATTTAGGTTATTTATTTGTTAGAAATTATTTTGACCTAAATTGGAAGTTATAAATATTTTTGGTTTTATAGGGGGTGCAGTGGTTGTAAGGGCAGGAGGTTTATAGTTGGGTCTTAGATTTGTTGATTTAAACATTTTTGAATCTCTAGGTTGGGAGGTCGGAGGGTCGTGAAGGAAAATAAAAAAGTTTGAGCCAATGTTAAAGAGAGGAAAAGTTACTTATTCCAGACAGGTGGAGAGAGCTTTGGCTGCTTATACGCTGGAACCTTTAGGAATTTTAGAGATAATAAAAGGTTTATCGGATTTTAGGAAGTTGATGTAGTCGTCATGAGGGGTAGATGGGAGGGGAATAAATGAGTCTAATGAGGTAGGTAAGTAGGCGATATTAGATGAGGTAGAAGTATCGCTTTGAGTGGAAAATGGGATTTTGGAAAGGAGGAGAAATACGCTTTCCGGATTCAGGACATACGATGCTTTTGATTTGCAAGTAAGTCAACAAACCTTGTTACCCAGAGAATAAAAATGAAATTAAAAATTTCTTCCTAGTTGTCTTTATAAAAATTGAATTTAATATTATTAAAAAGCAATGTAAAGAAATATAAAAACTTAACTTTTAAAATGAAATATTTTGAAATGACATAATTAAGGGGATTTCTGCAATTATTATTTTTAATCACATTATAATAGTTTAAAAATATATTATCTGACCTAAAGTTAAAAATATGTTTAAAATATTCTAGGTTTTCCCCATTTTAAAAGCAGGCGATTCTTAATCAACTCAATAACTTTGTTAAATATTTTATTAAAATTAAATATTTATTCGAAGTGAGTACATCAATAAAGCCACCCCCTCCCTTCCGAACTTTTAATTGCCTATAATCTCAATTCCGTTTGAAGATTTTAAGCTAAAATTAGCACGGCACAACACATTTTCACCATTTTATGAACATATACTCAAAAATTAATAAATTTTTTTCATTGTGATAGCGAAAAATTTATGACGGTTTGGGCTTTCGAACTGACTGGGCTTTACAAATTTCTGAAGTCCTCAAAATGCCATTCAAAATATTTATTATTTAATGACTATTTATTAATAAAATATTTTGTTATAAAAATTATTATAATTGATATTTATCTACTATTTATATTATATTAAAAATATAACACCAAGTTCCTTTTTTTCTATATAGAGAAGTATATAAATTTTATTTAAACGTGGGGAAGGGGGGGGGGGGGGGGGTGTAGGTGTTAACATCTTACTTTACCTGCCCTGGGTTAATCTCATTTTATCAATTTAATATTTGATATCAGAAAACAGGGATGCGAACCCTCCTTCTAAAAAATGTGTTCGGGTTTGGGTTCAGTCAAAAATCTCTGAACCCGGTTCGCGTTAATTAATTGAAAGTTTAAAATAAAAAAAATAAATTTGTTAAAAAAGATTGGATGGACCCTGAATCCTAAATTTTAAAAAGGGTTCGGGTTTAGGTATGGGTTCAGCGAAATATCGGGGGTTCGCGAACGGGTTTAGGGTTTGGGTTAGGGTTCTCATCTCTGACAGATAACTCTGGCTAATTTTTTTACCGAAAATAAAAAAAAATTTTTATTTTTTTATAATAATCATATTTATTTTAAGCAGAATAATATATTCTTATATTATTATTATTGTGTAATAGATATAATAGAATCTACAAAATATGTAAAAAATTTAAAACAAAACAATTTAAATAACTATATAAAGCGAGAAAAAATAAATAAGAAGTATAAAGAGTCTAGGATATCTCTTCAAGCTTAGACTTCTATTAAAGCTAATGTAGTTCGCTTTAAGGATGGTTATGCCGTCAAACTTTTCAGAGGAAAAACCCTTCTTAAGTGTTATTCTGTGAGTTTGCTGATTTGTAAGCCTAGATTTTTGGAAAATACTAGAAACAATGACCTTTCGAAATTTCTGAATATTTTGAGATTTTATGTTTTTCCTTGTGATCCATGATGTCAAGGGCTTGGTTGGAAAGGGTCAGGGGATCAATACATAAATAGTCCCTATGTTTTTTAAATGTTTTTACGCATAGACGCCATAAGAAAACAAAGTCCCTTGGCAAATGACCGTACACAGGGGCATAACTAAACCTTCCAATTTTCTTGGACTTTAAGGATGCTAATCTAAAATTCTCTAAAATTAATATTGTTTTTTTTACTTCAAAATTTTTATTTTCTAAATTTTTTGAAAAGGCGCTTCGAAATATTACGTGGCTCGAGCCCCTAATAGCACCATCTAGTGACCACATTGTTTAACATGCCCAGTGAGTGAGCTAGTTAGAATATGCTTCTAAAATAAATGACTTAAATAATTATTGATATCTCGACTCAATCTCTTAGCTTAGGAGTGCTAATTCCATTTTTTTTATTTACCGGTGCCGAGAGAGAAAAAAAAGGCGTTTTAAATCAAATATAAAATATTTTATGTCAATTCATTTAAATTTACCTAAGGATTTGATTTATTAATAATTTTATTTCATATAAAATTAATTTTATTAGAAATAAACTCTACTTAATTATACAGGAATTATTTTGTGTTATACAGATATTACTTTTATAGGTATAAAAATAAGCCAATTTATTCTTTTAAAAAATTTGCTTAAATATAAATTTCATCTTAAGGACAATGTCCCTAAGAAGGATATATTTGTTGACCAAAGTATAATTATTTATAAAAAAAAATATATATAAATAATTAAGCTCCGTAACGGAAATGACGATATATCGATTTTAGTGTACTATTATTTTATTATAATTTTACAAACTATTTATTTAATATATTGTATGTATCAAATAGAAGTTCATTATATTAAATGGCATTATTATAAACTAATCGATAATTTATTTTTCACTCTAAAAATTTCATTTATTTTATAAAAAATAAATAGCAATTCTTAATTTAAAACATCTAAACTTTTAAAAAAATATTCTAATAATATCTTCTTCTACAATGGATCCTGAGAATTATACTGATAGCAGGTTATAAATTTTTTAAAGAATTAAGGAAATTTTTTTTATTTAGTCAAAATTACAGCTTGATTCTCATTTTATAATAAAAATAAAAATTTTATTTAAATAATTTTTAAATTTTTTGTCATTTATTTTAATATATGTAAATCGCAGAAACAAATTTATAAATTGTATAAACATTATTATAGTAATATATTAGTAATATTGTGATTTCTTTGTGTATGCGTCATAATTACCTTAAAATCCTTAATTTTAGGGAGAAAAAATACTAAATTATAATTACAGTGTTTGATAATGTATAATTTCGTTTTTTTAGGGAGGAAAAAAACGAAATTATAATTACAATGTTTGATAATATACCTTATTATCTAATGATACAAAATAAATTGGCTTACTTCATAATAATAAAGTGACAATTTCAAAATAGCTTACTAGATATATATTATTACTACACTAGGTTAAGATATCATTTAACACTCAAATATAGCAAAGCATACATTTATTTGGAAGATCAACGGTTCTGTCATATCTGTCTTAGACAAGAACCGAATATTTTGAGGACCAGTATTTTTTCGAAGGCCGTCAGGACTGGTCTTTTAATTATTTTTACTAATTTTTTGTCTATATTAATTTTTTAGAGGAGTTTTAATGTAATTTCTTTTTTTGGTAGTGTGAATAAAGGCTCAATTTTTCCCATTTAAAATTAAAATTTTAGCCAAAATAATATTTTTGCAAGCCTCGAGAGTTCGTTAATAGATGTCCAACCTTTCTACTATCAGTGAGAAAAATCTCCAGTATTTTCAAATCGAGCCGTTTAACAATACTTATTTTAGTTCATTTTTGCAATATACTATGACGATGAATGTCAAAAAAGCATTTTACTTTAAATTTAAATATTTTGTTATATTTATTATATTATTATTCACATTTGATTTGATATTATTAACATAAAATACATAATAAAATGATAAAACAAGATTTAAATCAGGCATAAACAAAAATATTACAAAAAAAATTAAAAGACCGGATAGGAAAGGAAGGAAAAGAAGGAAAAGAAGGAAAGGAAGGAAAGGAAGAAAAGGAAGGAAGGAAGGAAGGAAGGAAGGAAGGAAGGAAGGAAGGAAGGAAGGAAGGAAGGAAGGAAGGAAGGAAGGAAGGAAGGAAGGAAGGAAGGAAGGAAGGAAGGAAGGAAGGAAGGAAGGAAGGAAGGAAGGAAGGAAGGAAGGAAGGAAGGAAGGAAGGAAGGAAGGAAGGAAGGAAGGAAGGAAGGAAGGAAGGAAGGAAGGAAAGGAAAGGAAAGGAAAGGAAAGGAAAGGAAAGGAAAGGAAAGGAAAGGAAAGGAAAGGAAAGGAAAGGAAAGGAAAGGAAAGGAAAGGAAAAGGAAAGGAAAGGAAAGGAAAGGAAAGGAAAGGAAAGGAAAGGAAAGGAAAGGAAAGGAAAGGAAAGGAAAGGAAAGGAAAGGAAAGGAAAGGAAAGGAAAGGAAAGGAAAGGAAAGGAAAGGAAAGGAAAGGAAAGGAAAGGAAAGGAAAGGAAAGGAAAGGAAAGGAAAGGAAAGGAAAGGAAAGGAAAGGAAAGGAAAGGAAAGGAAAGGAAAGGAAAGGAAAGGAAAGGAAAGGAAAGGAAAGGAAAGGAAAGGAAAGGAAAGGAAAGGAAAGGAAAGGAAAGGAAAGGAAAGGAAAGGAAAGGAAAGGAAAGGAAAGGAAAGGAAAGGAAAGGAAAGGAAAGGAAAGGAAAGGAAAGGAAAGGAAAGGAAAGGAAAGGAAAGGAAAGGAAAGGAAAGGAAAGGAAAGGAAAGGAAAGGAAAGGAAAGGAAAGGAAAGGAAAGGAAAGGAAAGGAAAGGAAAGGAAAGGAAAGGAAAGGAAAGGAAAGGAAAGGAAAGGAAAGGAAAGGAAAGGAAAGGAAAGGAAAGGAAAGGAAAGGAAAGGAAAGGAAAGGAAAGGAAAGGAAAGGAAAGGAAAGGAAAGGAAAGGAAAGGAAAGGAAAGGAAAGGAAAGGAAAGGAAAGGAAAGGAAAGGAAAGGAAAGGAAAGGAAAGGAAAGGAAAGGAAAGGAAAGGAAAGGAAAGGAAAGGAAAGGAAAGGAAAGGAAAGGAAAGGAAAGGAAAGGAAAGGAAAGGAAAGGAAAGGAAAGGAAAGGAAAGGAAAGGAAAGGAAAGGAAAGGAAAGGAAAGAAAAGAAAAGAAAAGAAAAGAAAAGAAAGAAAGAAAAGAAAAGAAAAGAAAAGAAAAGAAAAGAAAAGAAAAGAAAAGAAAAGAAAAGAAAAGAAAAGAAAAGAAAAGAAAAGAAAAGAAAAGAAAAGAAAAGAAAAGAAAAGAAAAGAAAAGAAAAGAAAAGAAAAGAAAAGAAAAGAAAAGAAAAGAAAAGAAAAGAAAAGAAAAGAAAAGAAAAGAAAAGAAAAGAAAAGAAAAGAAAAGAAAAGAAAAGAAAAGAAAAGAAAAGAAAAGAAAAGAAAAGAAAAGAAAAGAAAAAAATAAAAGAAAAAGAAAAAGAAAAAGAAAAAGAAAAAGAAAAAGAAAAAGAAAAAGAAAAAATGAATGAAATAAATAAGACCTGGATGGGTTTTTATTTAAGAACCGTGTATATCGGTCAAGGCCGCAACATTCACTAAGTATTACACATTTAAAACGGAGTATTCAAGATTTCTTATACGGCCAGTTCAAAAAAAAATTAACAAAAAAGGAAACCCAAATCTAAAATTAGCGATAAAAAAAAATAGAAATCTAAAATTAGCCAAAATAAATTCGAGGCTCACTCAATTCCCAAAATGGTTCCCATATATAGGGAGCGTTGATAAAATCCTTTAATTTTCATTACCCCTAAATATTTTAAATGTAAGTGGTGGCGTAACAAAAATTGATTAACATTATCAAATAATACCTCTAAATAGTGTATTAGAGTATAGAATAATAAAAAAAATTCATATTTTGATTTTTAAATTTTTGTGTTACTAAAAATTTGAGGCACAGTGTAACAAGCTAAGGTGAATTGGAACACCAGTCATGACAGAATGCCAAATTTTTTATTTATTTAACATAAATTTTCTTGATTTAATAACAAAGAATGCTAAAATTTAAAAACAAGAAAATTAATTCTAAGCAAATCAAATTTTATGATTTAATAACAAATAACAATAAAGTATAATTTTTAATAATGATTTATTTAAAAGATAGAAAACTTAGTGTTGTTAAACAGCTAGATTTAACCCGATTTTTAAACTCAATATTTTAGCCAAAAAATATTGCCTAGGCCTCGAGATTTCGGGAATAGATATTCAAATTTTTGTGCAATATGACCAAAATTTTAAGGCACGCATAATATTTTCTGGATAAAATATAACCATTTTAACAAATCAGCTCAAAAGCCCTTTAACAATACTAAGAAAGCTTGACAGCAATTTCAACTAATAAATCTAAAATCATAGTAGTAAAATAATGTGTTTTAATTAAGTGTAAGGCTTTTTTTATTCTATCAAACAAGATTTATGACAAAATGTATAAATTATAGGATTGTCATATAGTATATATATCATCACTCTTAATCTGAGGGAGTCTATTATGCATTGAATGGCATCAACATTAGAATATTGTATACTTAAAAATTCTTTGTTTAGGATAGATAAATGATATCTACAAAAATATGAATTGAATTTCGATTCGAATATTCTATTTGAAAATTAAATTCATTAAAAATATTTTATTTTTTTAAAAAAATAATTAATTATCAAAATTTAAAAAAGTGAAAATATTTACGAAAATTTTGAAAAATATATACAAATTATTTCGAACAATACGAATAATTCGATACCCGGGCCGGGCCTAAATAAAATTTTTTTAAACATATCCGGGCTGGGCCTACAAATTTTTTTTTAAAATATATCCTGGCCGGGCCGGGCCTAAGATTGTTAAACCCGGGCCGGGCCTTAATATTTTATATAAAAATTTTTACATTATGAGTTAATGGCTATAAGATTATATTATATTATAGTTATGATTAATATAATATTGGGTGATGGTTAACACTACCTAACACCCACAGATCGATCTAATTATTAATTTCCTGCAAATTTATTCAAAGTATTAATATATATTTTTTATAATTCATATCTAAATTTTTAAATATTTACCAAAACAATCAAATAAAGGAATATCATGGCACAAAATACTAATTTAATAAAATTAAAAATAATATTTATTTTTTTAGAAATACAAATAATAATTTAAAATCTAAAATATGGGCGAAATTTAACATCATCATAGATGAAAATAAAAAAAACATTGGCTACTTCAATGACATATAATAATACCTAGACTGACGATTCATTCATTAAAAGTGTACATCAATACAAATCAGCTAGAGACGCCATCTTGGTTACTGTAATAAATATTAAAATTTTAAACGAGAGCCTAATTTTATATTATATCTGATGCAAACTTTATTAAAGAATTGCCTGTTCATCGAGATAATAAGAAAGTAAGTTATCAATTTAATATTAGTTTTTAACATGAAAATAATTATTATAAAGGTTACCAAAATGGCGGGTCAAGCTGATTTGCTTTTAACGACGCTTAAAAATGCATTTTAATGAATGAATCGTCAGTCTAGGTATTATTATATGTCATTGGGCTACTTACAATGTAAGAATTGTTCAAGTATATTATCTTATAATTATAAACATGGTACATCACATTTTAAAAGACATAGATGTGATGGTAAATCCATGAAAATTAATAAAAAAATTTTACACCTGAAAAACCAACCTATAAATGTAATATAAAATATTCAAAAGAAAAATTTATAGATCATTCCTTAACACTTTGCGCAAAAGATATTAGACCTTTCGAAATGATAGCTGGGAATGGGTTTCTTGAATTCAGCTAGGCTCTAGTCGATGTTGGGGCAAAGTATGGTAAAATATCAACTCATTGATTTCACATCCCACCACTCTATCACGCCACCCTAAAGAAAAATGTAATAAAATAAGAAACATTTTGGTTGATACTATTGCCCCA